AACAATACTCCCTTTGGATAGCAAGGATCCAAAGTATGACAAGTGGTCGTCAAATTGGGAGGGACCATATAAAGTAAATAGTGTGTTGCCTAATGGGGCCTATCATTTGGAAGATTTAGATGTCACCAAGCACATGAGGTTCATTAATGACAAATATTTGAAAAAATATGTTCCTTCCTTATGGGAAAGTGAACAAATAAAAGCATAATCAAATCGCGTTGAACGATCGTAAATAAAAAAGGCCCAGAGCGAAATACGTTCAAATAAATTCCTTTATTATCAAACATTCATTACAAAGTTGCAAAATACAAAATACTAAATGCTCTATAAGTTACAATTGAGAGCAAACTAATCTCTAGGTCGATCGCCAAGAGGGTGAACTGGCCTTGATTGCTATCCTGATCGCACTGCTGCAAAGGTAAGCAGAGAGGCCGAGAAGCACTCTCGACAAGCAGAAGGGAAGAAGAAGCACCCTCACATCGGCATCGCTGTAATAATGGGCAAGGAGGCTGAGAAGCACTCTCAGCAAGCAAGGTGGCTTGCAGGCATCCTCAAAAATTGTCTTCCATCATTGAACTCCTTGTAAGGAACATGGAGACGATAGGAAGAACGTCGCTGGCCAAAGAATATTTCATATATCTCCCATACCAAAGGTGATATAAAAAAAAGATGGCAAAATGGGCGAATCAAATGATCCATTTTCATGGAAGACGAAGGTTTTGGATCGATTGTCAAAATGCCAAACAATGGCAGCAAATTGGTTTTGAAAAAGAGAATGGAAATGAAAATGACAAGTGTGGAATATAAGTGCATTTACAGGGGTCTGAAGGTGAAGAGACAGAATATGAGCAGCCATATTCGTGCCTAGTAACTGGAATCAAATGGCCCGAAATCTTGGGAAAAGAGACAGAAATACCAAGAGAAAATATGCGTGAATCTTAGCATAAAGTAGTTAAATGCTTGGGGGTTGACGATTAAAGACAACGTTAATAAATACACAAGAAGACAAATTAATCGTTCATTAATGATAATGGCTGCTTGTACGTTTAGAACTACCAATGGACATCAGTACGAGGTTACAAGGGGAAAGTTAATACGAAGTTACAAAAAGAAAAGTTAAGGCATTATATGTCTTAATTACAATTCGCCCCAGACCGAACGAATTCTTTCCCTAAGTCTCCCCCAATCCTCGCTCTGCCGAGAAGAAGTGATATCCAATTCAACTACAAAATCGTCATCAACTTCCAGTTTCTTGTACTACTCGACCAAAGACTTGGTTCACTCAAATCCTTGGGAGGCATTACGTTTTTTAGCAGCCATTCTCGCCTTGCAGTCGTCCATCCTTGCTTGAAGCTCCTTCATCTGTGCAACCAAACTGGTCATCAAAGAGTCTTCAATCATAACTTTGGAAGAGATTTCTTTCAATTCGTCCTCAACTTTGTTGATCTCCAGAAGCAAAGACTCTCTTTCAGATACAGCGCGAAGATATTGAGTACTCTTGGCCTTCAGTTCAACAT